AGGCAAGTAAATTGTCTACATTCTCAAGTAAATACCCTTCCGTCCCCACCCCCACTCGCAGCGCCTCTACCTCATACACATGCAAGCCACACACAAAACACAAGTGAACAACTCATAGATTACAGAATGCCACAGAGACGAATATAAACATCTAAATCATGCATCCATGGATAAGTCACCTTCATTTTGTTTTCTTTCTTTCAAAAAATGGATGCAAACAAATCAGCCTACAACACCAGTAAACACAACAGTTTAGTAAACAGGCAAATAATAATAAACAAGGATAATATTTTATTTTTAAGTAGCATTATGCTCATTCATTCTCCAACTTATATATTTATTCCTTTAACCATCTCTTTTTTTTCCTAGTAGAAGAGATGAATAACACTCTATTGGTAAGTAAATAATTATGAGTCATTAAGTATTTATTTATAAAGGGAAGAGGATTATATATAAAAGAAAATGGCACCTGATGGGGACTTTTTTGTTGCCTTAAAATATAAATAAGTATCTAACTATGTCTATCTCTAATGAACAGGTTATGTTAGACATCAGAGTTATGAATAGAAAAAGAAGTCAAGTTCATATTGCCTAACAACTTTACTATGTGTAAGACAAATTAAAAGGACTGTTACTCAAGTCCAATAGGTTGTTGGTACTCCAGTACTGAGATGAGTTCCACCTCAGTATTGGAGTATTGAGATGTCCTCTGAACGTACTGTTCACTTTAAACGACATCATCTATAGACAAAAAGATGTTATAGCAATGAGATCTCCTTTGGGCACTTGTACTATCAGATTGTTTCGTGACAAGTATTGAGAAAGGTCGACAAAGTCGAGCATTGAAAATTTACGACTGGATAAAAGATACGTAGCTGACCCCAATCTACTGCTGCAGACATTTATCTGTTGCAGTCCGGCAATAAAATTTACTCTTGAAACGGAAAACGAATCAAAAATTCCCCTTCTTGATGTGGATGTAACAAGAAGAACTGACAGGACATTAAGAAGATCCATTCATAGAAAAACTACATGGAATGGTCAACTATTAAGCTTCTACAGCTGGGTACCCATTCAACAAACCGAAATTTAATTAAATCCCTTGCCATCCGCATCTGACACATATGTAGTTCCAATGTTCTAGAAACAGAATTAGATCTTTTGAGAGAAATCTTCATCCAACATAGATACCAACTAAGATTCGTTGACGAAAATATCAAACTGAGAATTTGAAGGAATGAAACTTGATTTGCGCCCTTGAAAAGAAACTCTACATGAAGTTGGATTTCAAGGGAGATTCAGCAAGCGATATCCTCAAGAGAAAGATCACATCATCTCTGAGAATAACATTCTTTGCAGCCACGCTAAGAATGGTGTTCACCAGTCGCCCACTGATGTGCAGAAGCATTAGGGACAAGATCCGGCATCTCACCACTTCTGTGTGCATGTGTCAGTTCACCTACTGCTGCGGAGCCAGCCATGTACATCGGTCGTTCGACGCGCACGCTGTCCAAGATGATTCGAGTACACTATCCAGCATGGTTTGGAAAAGGCAATAGTGGTGCAATAAGGAGTGGGATAATTGAACACCTGGTTAACACTGATCATTCCATCTCAACAAACACCTCCTGCTACAAAGTGGTCTACAGAGTCAAAAATAACCTATCAAAGGCAATACAGTTTCGTCTTCTTTGAATGTCTGGAGCTCTGGTCATTTACAGAAAAAAACTGGAGCTACATATACAACAGAGAATTACTCAGCGACTTCCACTACCATGGTAACAACTTTGTTGATTTTCGACGACTTAATTTTGTTTGTTTGATTATTTCTTTAAGTGCTCACAATTCTTGTATTCATTTAGAACTCTGATGTGATTTCGTATCTGCTACCATGTTCCTGTGTGTGTATTCTGAGTACAACTCAACCGTCAAACTACTCATATGATTACGTAACTCCATTTAACAACTGTTTGTGACAACTCATCACCTTTGTCACTGCACTAGTTTCATTAGCACACAATTTTCTTGACCATTTTTGTATTGCGTAACTTCACCTAAAACTTACTCGTTCTCACCCTCCCTCCTTGATTTAAAATAACCATAACCAATTGTATTTTTGTTTGACGAGCTTAATGTACATATGCATACAAAATAACCCACAAATATTTGGGATTGTACAGCTAAGCAAATGAATTCGCCACCGAAAAGACACTCTTCGCTGAACTACGTGTTTTGTTTTCATTGATTGCAAATGGATGAACACACATTCATTGAGTTATTTAAATAATTGACTGACATGTGATTTATTTTATTTTAAATGTTCAACAGTTATTCAAATGAACCGGTTAGATAATACTGAATATTGAATATGTTTTAATCAGTGATAAAATGCTGTGGTCAAGTCCAGTGAAGATTTAGACAAACAGAAAACAAGGAAGATTATTCTTTTATTATGATGCAATCGAGTTCAGGATTGCAAAAGATAGATAGATATCAAACGATAAAACAACAGCCACAGAGTCATTAGTGTCTATGCGATTACGTTGTTAAAATGTATAGAGTCCACTAGTTGAAGGGTTATAAAAGGAAACAGAAAGATGCAAATCTTTTGTAAAACGATGTAAATGTAAGCATTGTAGTGTTTAAGAGAAGGAACTGCCACTGTGAACAGAATAGGAACCTGATGTGCTCCAAATTTTTCGCAATTAAGTGACGATTGAGTTCAGTAACGTATTTAGAATATTTGATATCACTATGTAAATTAATTTTTTTAAAATCTCGGCCATTTCTATGCATGCGTCATTGGTCCTCGAGTAAACACCGGACAAATTCAGTGAAAATGCTACAACACTAGTTCTAGATATATTAGGAATTGCATTAAAATATAGGAGGGATTGTAAAGCCATATTAAGTAATCTAAGAAGTATATTTCTCCTGTACTTCAAAGTCCCTGCAGGGATTGGATTGATATTTTTGGGGTACAGTCATTAGCCCCACACCTAAACTCTCCTATTTTTTTCAGGCTTGGAAGAGGCTGGTAAACTAGAAGACTAGCAAGTAGACGCTGAGCAGACTGTTAGGTAAAATTACGTATCAGGCTCTAGAGTGGAACCCGAATGGGAAACGATATTTTAGGCCTGGGCTTAACGACAACATAGAGGAGATTATATGAACTGGAAATGATAGCTCATAGGCAATGGTGAAGCTAGATGGAAAAGACTGCGGTGAATACAGTGAAATTGGGATATACTGCTGAAGCCCTACGTTATACTGGGAACTCAAGGGAATAACAATAAGTCGTATGAAATACATTGAGAAGATTATGTGGTCGAAGGGACAGGAGTGTGATTTTTTATGGGAGAAATTTGTCAGCATTTAGAAGAAAGAAATATACTGAAATTTTCTATTCCTACAATGATTTCTCAGTTGATTTTGGTATTTTATGAGTAATCAATTCTTCATTAAACGCTTTGCTGATTATTGGTGTACGAAGACATTAATAACAGTACTTCAAATATGTATTCTCTAAAGTTCATACACTTAAGAATCACGTATAGAGTTAATTATGTCAATATTTACGAGTTAACCAGGAAAAACAACATGATTTACCAAATAGTATGTAATAACTGTGAGATTAGGGGTCAGTCAGGTTATCAGAATGTAGGATCTAGAATGACTAAATCCTGTGAGTCAATTCATCTTAAAACAAAAGCTCATTGACTCGACTGAATTCATTTGCTTGTAATCGAACAATAGGATGAGAAAGATTAAAAGTGTGAATAGGTAATACAACTAAGTTGATAGAAATTCTAATATTGGTTTGTAGGGATTTGACTGATTGCTTACAGGATTTCATCATGAGCTGAAATCGGCTAGAGAACCATTGAAAAACCTAAGATTACTGGACAATTGTTTCATCATGACCAGTAGGGTTCAACAAGTCAGGTGTGAGGACAAGTACTCGCCGAAGACATTAGCTAGCCATCGCACTATGTCGTGAATTGGCCGAAGTTATAATTCAAGGACTGGTCATTGGATCGGGTCCCAGTGGCTTTATGGTCTACGAGCTCACTAGCCTTGTAGCCAGAAGATCCTGGGTGCGTACAGTTGAAGAGTCCCAAACTAGGCCAGCGAAACATCTGTCCAGTCCTCCCAGGTTTTCCAATGGTTCTCCAACCGATTTCAGCTCATGATGAAATCCTGTAAGCGGATAGAAGTTGATCTCTGAATCTGTGTATATTGAATCAGCACAGAATAAATGCAGTTTAAATGACTCAACACTTGCACCGGATATATGGAGGATCGCACTAAAAACATGAAGCATTTAAAGCAATACATAAAGCAAGCTAGCAAGTCGTATAGATATTATGATTATCAGCATTAGATTGTGCTTGAAAAACCATATGATGTTTCTCTGTGTTATATTATATAAACCTATCTAATATGAAATATTATCACACCAAAGTGCCCCAATTCTAATTATTATTTATGATGGTTAAAAGGTGATACAATATTACACTTGCTGATTAGCACACTGCCCTTTTAGTTATTTGTAGTGATCACTGTAGGCAAGGCTATAGGCTAATATGGTGACTTTCTTGAAATTTCAAACTATAGTTTGTGAACTTCGTAAACGATAGTTTGTTGACCTGTTCGACAATGCACTGGCCACATTACTCGTGCCTTTAAAACACCGACTGTTCGTGCAGAATCAATCCCTGAACACCATGATCTATCTGCATCCTAAAGAATATTAAGTGTCGTTCTATGCGTAGATCCCCGTGATCTGGCTGACGAACATCAGTAAGTGATGAGCATAGTTTTCAAATGTCAGTATAACGCATGCTGTTTATAGTGCAGTCAGAAATTCCGAAAGTGTACACTCCCAAATCCTCCAAAGTTGCAATATTTATATGAAGCTATCAGTCAGACAATTTCATCTAATAACAAAATTTCAAAATGAAAAAAAACAACAAAACTTGCCAGCAAAATTCACTCACCTGTATGTGTTCTAATATGTACATACATATTACTATAATGTCTTGTTGTATAATTACACAATTTACATTTTAGCAAAGATTCACCCGTACTAGTTGAATGAGTCTTCTGTAAATGTCTCAGTAAATTTTTCTCAAATCGAAAACACTTATGACACAATGGACATAGCATATTTTGATCCATAGTGAATGCACTGAAATTTAACGGAGGAGAATATGAAGTTGGAGGTGGCGCTGGTGGTTGTGACGAGGATGACGAAGATTGTGATTGTGTATTCCATAAAAATGATGTTTTCACGTCACTGAAATTTGTTTTACTACTTAACACTATTGATGAACAGCTTGAATCTATGTTTTCAGGCTTCACAAAGTAATAAGGCAATGTAGTATCTATCTTATTTGGAAGTGGAGGAGATGGTTTCCAAGGAGAGTATTGAAATGAATCTTCTTGTATTTCATTTGAATGATTTTCTGTGCATGAATTAGACCATGAGAATTTACAGTTAGGCTGGTATATTCTAGGTATATCACTAGTATCTGTGTAAAATCCTTTACCAACTTGTTGGTTTGCGATTGGGGCCGCCTTCATCATCAACATCATCAGTGTATCTTCTGAGAATGGTTCATTTTTCACTGTGCATGGATTTTCATCAGTGCAATCATCACCTTGTAGAGAAGTATCATAGGAATGATAAATTCGCGACCATTCATTCAAAAGCCATTGTGATTGAAACTTACTGCTTTCATCATATGAAGTAAATGGTTGAATGACCTTCCCTGCTGGCACTGACAACATCTGATCACTACATAAGGATTCTAATTTCTTTAATTGTCTGCTAACTGGTAAATTTCTACTAGTTAAATCGATCACATTGGATTCACCAACATTACACAAATTATCGGAACATTGACTGGAGATTCGACTGCAATCATTAGATGTAATAATTTCCATAAACATTTGACGAAATACCTCTATACGCAATAACTTTGACCATGTATATAATACTACAGGGGATGGTATAAAATGATGTATACAACAATGTTGATGTTTTGTGTAGCTTTCTGATATCTTCAATGCATAGTTCACTCCTTTTTCTTCAATATTTTTATCATTATAATACGGATAAACACTTTGATTGAATTGATCATTGAACATTTGAATCATTGAATGAAAGTGTGAACAAGCGGTTACTTGGTTACAGTTTTTTAACAAGTAAACAAATTGTTTAAATACTTCGAAAATATTTTCATTCATTTGTCAAAAAAGTTGGTTTATAGGAATTCAGTTATGATGAAGCAGTTGAAAATATTTGCATCAAGGTATTCTGTTCTGAATTATCAAAGTTGGGTATCTGAAAGAAATACAGAAAATATGCTTGCAATGATACAATTGCAAAGAAAAGAAAGCTAATGCTTTAGGTAAGGATGTCAAGACCAGGATAGGAAAGGCAGGATAAGCCTTCATCACTCTGGAATTAGTTTGGAAATCTGCTGCTCTCAGTATGATGAAAAAAATTTGGACTTTCGACACCAGTGTTAAGTCCTTCACTTCTTCTTCTATATAGGTCAGAGACTTAGCGAATCCGTCACGAAAAGCAACAACTGCCGTCTCTGTGGCTCCAAAGTGAAGGTCAGGTGGCCAGCAAGAAGGAATTAGCTGCACCAGAGTCTGGGAACAAATCATTCAAGAAGTTATTACTCGTTAAATATGTAGAAGAAAGTGAAGATGGATTGGATGCACACTGAGGAGACTGATGGGTGACATCACGCGCCAGTTATAACCTCTATTTTACCCCCAGTGGAAAGAGATAAATCTGGTTTGGTCTGAGGGAGACATGGAAGACATTTTGTGTGGAGTATGATAAGGCTGTAGTTTGAAATAAGGACAAGGTAAACTAAGCTGCAGAAATCATTTCTTCTAAGAAACAGAACGTCCCAGAGATGGACATTTTAGCGGCCAATTTCTTGAAAAAGAAACAGGTGTCTCCTTTTACTGCCAACTCTCTATCAGACCAATAATTGACCTTACGGACAACCCAACGTACGAGTTATCTAAATATTTAGTATCTATGTTATGCCCCGTTAGAGAGAGATCAAATTCTAGGCTAACTAATTTCTATGTAATGAAACAGAAACTATAGGAAATTCAATTAGAAAAGATGGAAAAATGATTAGTTTCGACATAACCATTTTGTACACCAATATTCTCATTATTACAGTTCTGAAGGCAGTTAGGAATAAACTGAACATTGATGCTGACCTGAAAAGTCGGACTAAGCTCTCGGTTGACGAAATAATATTAGGTGTTCAGTTGTTTCTAACATCCCCTGTATAAACAAACGAATGAGGTGGCAATGGAATCACCAATATCCCCAATAGTGGCAGACAAATTTATGGATGGTTGGGAACATAAAGCTCTTAGAACTTTCAATCCTTCTCCTAGGTTATGGTTGAGATATGTGTGGATAACACATTCACCGTGTTGAAATCTCAACATATCCTTCAATTCCCTACACATATAAAGTTAATAGAAGACAGAATCCAATTCACTTCTGAGTTAGAAAACGAATCGGGTGTGTTGGCCATGCTAGACTATAGAATAAAAGGAAAAATATGGTGGGTTAGATACTAACATTTATAGGAAATCGACACACTCTAATAAATACCTAGACTTTAATTCATCCCATCCAGAATCGGTATAGATAGGTTTAGTAAAAATGTTTATATAGTTGGGCCAAGAGCCTAACTAGTCAGTCAGAAGATTTAAATAACGAAATTAAACAAATAAAGGAAGTATTACTACTGTATAATTACCCACTAGAATTTATTCAGAAATATATGAAGAACCATGGAAAAACTAAGACTATCAATAAAATTGACGAAAATAATATAAATTTTAGAGCCTCTGTAGTACTGCCATACAAAGAAGAAACTTCAGAGGCCTTAGGTAGGATTCACAATGTTGTTGGAATTAGAGTGGCATTTAAACCAGCCAACCAATTCTCTCAGAGAGAAACTTTGTCGGCTTTAGGACTCATTCGATAGATCCAATTAAGAAAAATAATATGATTTACCAAATACCATGCAATTAATGACTGTGAGGTCAGTTACATAGGCCAATCAAACTAGTAGATCGGGGTCAATTAGATTATTGGATCACAAAAATCTAGCTAAACCTAGAATAATTGATCCTGCTAAGCTAAATAACGTAGAAAAAAGGCCAGCCATTGCACTGCATTCACTTGCATGTAATCACACAATAGATGGGGTGGGACAGAGTGAGGGTATTCAAAAGTCATGTGGTCAGATGGAGGGAGGGAGAGGTTAATCACTGAAGCTTTGTTTACCAACTCAAAAAATAAAACACATTATACAGTTATTCCATGTGATGATTCTTTTTCTAATTATACATTTTTCCAACTAAAATCAGCTACCTGATACGAGTTCATTCAATGTAAACAATAAGCCATGTGAAGATAAGATGAATTCATTTCACTTCACAGTCTTTTTCATCAGCTGCATACAACCTGAATAATAAACTAAATCAGCTTCATCTTCCTCTTGGACTCCGATTTTATATTCTAAAACAGAATAGATACAGAATCTAAGTTTGAGAATTTATTTCAACAATTCGGTGATCTCCAATCCACTGATGCACCCAACATTTGCGACCGAAGTGACTCAACGCAAATACCAGAGATATGGAAGATATTATTACCGCCAGTCAGTCAAATCAGAGGAGGATAATAAATAATGTTATGATATATCCAATTCACATTATAACATTCTCACAAGTTACTTATTTTGACTATAAAAACACTCGTCTTATTTCCCATCTGATTGCATTTGATTGATAACACTAATGTTATTATTTCTGAATGCACTTTATCTAATACTGACTTTTATTTATATGTCTAATCATCAATTTTACTCATGTATATAAATGAAAGAAAAAAGTTGTATGAGTGACTCGACATGATGATTATGAGGAATAGTTTGTGGTCGAAACGTGGTCATCAGTTAATATTACAGTGTAACACTGTGTGATTTATCAAAATAAAATCATATCTATAATAGAGTTATACTCTACCACAGTACCCAAGTTTTTTACTTATACCAAAGTAATTTACTTTTTGAATTCCCTATATTTAACCATGAATCTTCAGACCGAATAGGTTAATTAACACTCACTTTTACGGAGACTAAAACAAAGTTTTAATTATTATGAAAGTTGATGTCTAATTCTGAAAGCTACTCATAAATATTCTAACTGAAAATACACCATTTCTTAGTCAAATAGGTTTCACTGTTGCAGCCTAAATACCATCATCACTAAATTAAAATCCTATTCTATTCAACAGTGAATTACTACACTTGGTATGTACCAGTATATTCATCAAAAAATTAAATTCATCTGACAGATTTCCGTCTACATTTCAGAACGCCACATTACTGGTATCTGGTTTGATCAAGAGCTGACAACAGTTAATGAACAATTAAACGCCAGTAGGCAGTATTGGACAGCTGTTTCGTCCTAATTTGAGGCTCTTCATCAGTACCTACCCACGGGGGTTCGAACCTAGGACATTCCGGTTACAAGGTGAGCTGGTACCCGATCGCGTTGTCCAAGAACTCCAGCTTTTCAATGGTTCTGTAACTGATGTCAGGCCCTGATCCAACTTATAACCAATCAGATTACTAGTATCTGATTAGGTCTCAACGAACAAACAAAAAAGCTATATTCAACAGATCGTCTTGTCTGTCAGCTAAAACTTCTGAAAGCGAAATAATTTGACACAATTGGATTACATTTCTTAATCGCATGAATTTCATTCACTCAGCTGCTTTTATAAACTCAACTGTCTTTATTCTATATATGATAGTATAATGAAAAAATATATAAATATGTCTTACCTACTTTTTTTCATGGCCATAAACTATTCCGTTCAATCAGAGTAAAATATTTGTTTAAACAATAGTAATAATTATGATTATACTGTTATCATCGAATTCCATGAATATACCCTCAAGGGAATAAGAAGTATCATAAATCAGTCAAACTTACTTTGTTACATGAAATCATGTGAGAAGATGACGGGTAGTAAGCAGTAAAGTCTGAACAATCCAATGAGTTAAAGTTATTAGCGGAAATCAGTGTAGCACGATAACTTTTAAAACAATAAGGAATTCATTCTTTATAGTTTATAGCTCATTATTTAAAAATACTAAGCTTTATTTTCATATAAATATTTGGTGATATGTTTCAGTGGCGTTTTATTTTGATGAGTATTTACAAATAAATGAAATATATATATGGTTGCAGGATTTCATTATGGGCTGACATCGATTAGAGAACCATTGCAAAGCCAGCTGAGAGTACTGGACAGCTATTTCGTCCTCACTCCCTGGGACTCTTAATCAGTACGCACCCACAGTGTGGAGTTCGAACCCAGGACCTTCTAGTCAGAAGGCAAGCTCGGGTGTAAGGTCAAATACTCGTCGAAGACATTGGATAGTGGTCACGCTATGTCATGAATCGGCAGAAGTTAGAATTCATGGACTGGTCATTGGATCTGGTCCCAGTGGCTTAATGGTGTACGAGCTCACTAGCCTTGTAACCAGAAGGTCTTGGGTTCGAACCCCCCATTGTGGGTGCGTACTGCTGAAGGGTTCCAAACAAGGCTGACGAAACAGCTGGCTGTCCAGTACTCCCAGGTTTTCCAATGATTCTCTAACCGATGATGTCAGCCCATGATGAAATCCTGCAACCAATCAAATCCCTACAAACCAAAACTTGAAAAATATATGGATATGTTTTTGGTGGATACGTTTTCTTAGCGAATAACTTAGATATTCAGCTATCAGACTGAAATATTAAGAAGAATCCATAGGTGAAATTGCTTTTTGAGATGTCCCAATGACAAAAAGAGCAGATGGCAGCATAAAAGGCAATTTCCAGCTGTGAAGGGGAGGAGCTGGGCCGATCAATAAACACACTTTCACAACTTTATTCCTTTTCAGTATAAAAGAAATTTGGTAAAAACCTTCAGTTATAGGATCAGAGCTATTTTTTCAGAGGATGTAACTGAAGAAGAACTGAAGGTTGTATGCATTACATTAGTCAGAAAAAAGGCACCCTGAAAATTTCATCCCTAAACATACATATGGCTAAGACAGTGGAAAAGAATCCTTATGTATTTGTTAAGAAGCCCCTATATCAACGACTACAATTCGAAGGTGACGTACTATGTTGAATAACACCCAACAAGCCGAGGAAATTAATTTAAAGAAAGTCTAGTGCCATTAAGCCGCAGATTAAAAGACAAATTACCTAGGCTAACCACCTCTTACTGC